GTCCATAAGGATATTGAAGGCCAAGAAGGATTCAAGCAAATCATCTACACCGTGATCCAAGCCCTTGGAGAATCAAGCAGGCCTCCAATTGATTGGGCTGAGTAGGGTCATTTGGCCCTAATGTTGCTTAGGGTTAGATTTACTGCGTAGTAGGAGCATGGGCCGCCCCATCTGGACACCAAGATGGCCGACTGCTCTTTCAGGGTTTCCTTAGGGTTTTCGTAACCTCCAACTTACAAAAGGGCTTGCTTTGTAAGGGTTTTGGAAGTAAGTTGGATCAATAAAGTTTGACTAATTTCGATTCTTCTTGTTAAGAGAGATTCAAGCCTTTTTACTTGTCTTGGCAAGGGTTGTGAGCTTTGTTGTGTGTCGTCCTAGATTTTTCTACCGACCTATCCATTAGAGTAATCACCTCAGTGGAGTCGTCATTCTACCGTTAATAATCAAATCGTGTCGTCCATTTTATTCTAGGTTCCGTAATCCACACGTTCGACCACCTCGCTAGATCCTTGCGCGAACGTGCTACGTGTCTCGAAACGAGGTGATCGAGGACTGTCTCAGCGATGTGAGCATGGATCAAGGCCCATGCAATGACCCTGTCCGATTTCCATTTGTCCCAGTCATACGTGCCAGAGCCAATCTCTTCAAGTAATCCCTCCAAGGCCTTATTCGAATGGTCCAAGACCAACATGCAGTCCATAGGGATATTGAAGGTCTAGAAGGAGACAAGTAAATCATCTACAGCATGATCCAAGCCCACGGAGAGTCAAGGTGGCCTCCATGTGATTGGGCTGAATAGGGTCTTTAGGCCTTAATATTGCTTAGGGTCAGATTAACTGCGTTGTAGAAGCATGGGCCGACCCATCTTGACACCAAGATGGCCGACTGCTCTTTTAGGGTTTCGTTAGGGTTTTAGTAACCTCAACCCTATAAAAGGGCTTGCTTTGTAAAGGTTATGGAAACAAGTTTGATCAATAAAGTTTGGTCAATTTCGATTCTTCTTGTTAAGAGAGATTCGAGCCTTTTTACTTGACTTGGCAAGGGTTGTGAGCAATCTTGCATCTCGTCATAGATTGTTCTACCGATCTTTCCATTAGAGTAATTACCTCTGTGGAGTCGTCGATCAACCGCCTATAATCGAATCGTGTTGTCCCGTTTGATTCTAGGTTTCGCAATCCATACGTTGGACCACCTCGCTAGATCCTTGGGCAAACGTGCTACGTGTCTCGAAACGAGTTGATCGAGGTGTATCCATTAGAAGTAATCACCTCAGTGGAGTCATCGTTCTACCCCATATAATCAAATCGTGTCGTTCGTTTGATTCTGGGTTCCGCAATCCAAGCGTTGGACTACCTCGCTAGATCCTTGGGCAAACGTGCTACGTGTCTCGAAACGAGGTGATCGAGAACTGTCTTAGCGATGTGAGCATGGATCAGCGCCTATGTAATGACCCTGTCCGATTTCCATTTGTCCCAGTCACACGTGCCCGAGCAAAGCTCTTCAAGTAATCCCTCCAAGGCCTTGTTCGAATGGTCCAACACCAACATGCAGTCCATAGGGATATTGAAGGTCTAGAAGGAGACAAGTAAATCATCTACAGCATGATCCAAGCCCACGGAGAGTCAAGGTGGCCTCCAAGTGATTGGGCTGAATAGGGTCTTTAGGCATTAATATTGCCTAGGGTCAGTTTAACTGCGTTGTAGAAGCATGGGCCGGCCCATCTTGACACCAAGATGGCCGACTGTTCTTTTAGGGTTTCTTTAGGGTTTTAGTAACCTTTAGCCTATAAAAGGGCTTGCTTTGTAAGGGTTTTGGAAACAAGTTCGATCAATAAAGTTTGATCAAATTCGATTCTTCTTGTTAAGAGAGATTCGAGCCTTTTTACTTGCCTTGGCAAGGGTTGTGAGCAATCTTGCGTTTTGTCCAAGATTGTTCTACCGACCTATCCATTAGAGTAATCACCTCTGTGGAGTCTTCGTTCAACCACCTATAATTAAATCGTGTCGTCCCATTTCATTCTAGGTTCCGCAATCCAAGCGTTGGACCACCTTGCTAGATCCTTGGGCAAACGTGCTACGTTTCTCGAAACGAGTTGATCGAGGTGTATCCATTAGAGTAATCACCGCTGTGGAGTCATCGTTCTACCGCCTATAATCAAATCATGTCGTCCGTTTGATTCTAGGTTCCGCAATCCTAGCGTTGGACTAGCTCACTAGATCCTTGGGCAAACGTACTACGTTTCCCGAAACGAGGCGATCATGGGCCGTCTCACCGATGTGAGCATGGATCAGGGCCCATACAATGACCCTGTCTGATTTCCATTTGTCCCAGTCACACGTGCCAGAGCCAATCTCTTCAAGTAATCCCTCCAAGTCCTTGTTCGAATGGTCCAAGACCAACTTGGAGTCCATAAGGATATTGAAGGCCAAGAAGGATTCAAGAAAATCATCAACACCGTGATCCAAGCCCTTGGAGAATCAAGCAGGCCTCCAATTGATTGGGCTGAGTAGGGTCATTTGGCCCTAATGTTGCTTAGGGTTAGATTAACTGCGTAGTAGGAGCATTGGCCGGCGCATCTGGACACCGAGATGGCCGACTGCTCTTTCAGGGTTTCCTTAGGGTTTTCGTAACCTCCAACTTACAAAAGGGCTTGCTTTGTAAGGGTTTTGGAAGCAAGTTGGATCAATAAAGTTTGACTAATTTCTATTCTTCTTGTTAAGAGAGATTCGAGCCTTTTTACTTGCCTTGGCAAGGGTTGCGAGCTTTCTTGTGTGTCGTCCTAGATTTTTCTACCGACCTATCCATTAGAGTAATCACCTCGGTGGAGTCGTCATTCTACCGTCAATAATCAAATTGTGTCGTCCGTTTTACTCTAGGTTCCGCAATCCACACGTTTGACCACCTCGCTAGATCCTTGCGCAAACGTGCTACGTGTCTCCAAACGAGGTGATCGAGGACTGTCTCAGCGATGTGAGCATGGATCAGGGCCCATGCAATGACCCTGCCCGATTTCCATTTGTCCCAGTCACACGTGCCCGAGCCAAGCTCTTCAAGTAATCCCTCCAAGGCCTTGTTCGAATGGTCCAAGACCAACATGCAGTCCATAGGGATATTGAAGGTCTAGAAGGAGACAAGTAAATCATCTACACCATGATCCAAGCCCACGGAGAGTCAAGGTGGCCTCCATGTGATTGTGTTGAATAGGGTCTTTAGGCCTTAATATTGCTTAGGGTCAGATTAAATGCGTTGTAGAAGCATGGGCCGACCCATCTTGACACCAAGATGGCCGACTGCTCTTTTAGGGTTTCGTTAGGGTTTTGGTAACCTCTAGCCTATAAAAGGGCTTGCTTTGTAAAGGTTCTGGAAACAAGTTTGATCAATAAAGTTTGATCAATTTCGATTCTTCTTGTTAAGAGAGATTCGAGCCTTTTTACTTGCCTTGGCAAGGGTTGTGAGCAATCTTGCGTCTCGTCCTACATTGTTCTACCGATCTTTTCATTAGAGTAATTACCTCTGTGGAGTCGTCGATCAACCGCCTATAATCGAATCGTGTCATCCCGTTTGATTCAAGGTTTCGCAATCCAAGCGTTGGACCACCTCGCTAGATCCTTGGGCAAACGTGCTACGTGTCTCGAAACGAGTTGATCGAGGTGTATCCATTAGAATTAATCACCTTAGTGGAGTCATCGTCATATAATCAAATCGTGTCGTCCGTTTGATTCTGGGTTCCGCAATCCAAGCGTTGGACTACCTCGCTAGCTCCTTGGGCAAACGTGCTACGTGTCTCGAAACGAGGTGATCGAGGACCGTCTCAGCGATATGAGCGTGGATCAGCACCCATGTAATGACCCTGTCCGATTTCCATTTGTCCTAGTCACACGTGCCCGAGCCAAGCTCTTCAAGTAATCCCTCCAAGGCCTTGTTCGAATGGTCCAGCACCAACATGCAGTCCATAGGGATATTGAAGGTCTAGAAGGAGACAAGTAAATCATCTACACCATGATCCAAGCCCACGGAGAGTCAAGGTGGCCTCCAAGTGATTGGGCTGAATAGGGTCTTTCGGCCTTAATATTGCTTAGGGTCAGTTTAACTACGTTGTAGAAGCATGGGCCGCCCATCTCGACACCAAGATGGCCGACTGCTCTTTTAGGGTTTATTTAGGGCTTTAGTAACCTTTAGCCTATAAAAGGGCTTGCTTTTTAAGGGTTTTGGAAACAAGTTCGATCAATAAAGTTTGATCAATTTCGATTCTTCTTGTTAAGAGAGATTCGAGCCTTTTTACTTGCCCTGGCAAGGGTTGTGAGCAATCTTGCGTTTTGTCCAAGATTGTTCTACCGACCTATCCATTAGAGTAATCACCTCTGTGGAGTCTTCGTTCAACCACCTATAATTAAATCGTGTCGTCCCGTTTCATTCTAGGTTCCGCAATCCAAGCATTGGACCACCTTGCTAGATCCTTGGGCAAACGTGCTACGTGTCTCGAAATGAGTTGATCGAGGTGTATCCATTAGAGTAATCACCACCGTGGAGTCGTCGTTCTACCGCCTATAATCAAATCATGTCGTCCGTTTGATTCTAGGTTCCGCAATCCTAGCGTTGGACTACCTCGCTAGATCCTTGGGCAAACGTGCTACGTGTTTCGAAACGAGTTGATCGAGGACCGTCTCAGCGATGTGAGCATGGATCAGGGCCCATACAATGACCCTGTCCGATTTCCATTTGTCCCAGTCACACGTGCCAGAGCCAATCTCTTCAAGTAATCCCTCCAAGTTCTTGTTCGAATGGTTCAAGACCAACTTGGAGTCCATAAGGATATTGAAGGCCAAGAAGGATTCAAGCAAATCATATTTTTTTTTTTTTTGGGAAACTGCCAATCATATCTGGCAGACGGGCACTACACCCTTTTATTAAGAAACAAGCAAAGTACAAGAAGCTAAAGCACAAAACAAAAAGCCAGTGAGCAAAACCAATCTACGAAGCGAGAAACGGAAATTGGGAACCTGCTCCTTATCTAAAACAAAGAGGGACCTTGACAAGCGTGGAAGAGAAGACAAAGTGGGATAATCCAAGTGCCCGCTACAAGCAACGCCCACAGCAGCCAGAGAGTCAGCAACCGTATTCGCCTCCCGGAAACAGTGGGAGAGACGAACCCCCAACGGCAAAATTGCTCGAATCGCTCTAATCAGCGGCCGTACCGCCCACGGAATCGAAAAACTCCCTGCCACCACACGAACCAAAACCTGCGAGTCAGACTCTACTTGGCCCATGGAGAAACCCATCTGCTGGCACAGTTGGAGTCCATGAAGTATTGCATACGCCTCTGCCTGCAAAGAATCCACCAGCGGTAACTTGGCCGCAAACGCTCCAAGGAACGATCCATCGGACCGTCGGAGAATCCCACCAATACCACTAGCACCGGCCGTGGATGAGGAGGACCCGTCAGTATTAAGCTTGACAAATCCATTCTGCGGGAATTCCCAACTAACCAAAGTAGAACTTAAGGGCCACTGGATCCCCGAGATGACGGACACAAGTCCCCCAAATTCAGGCGGAAGTGAACGCCCAGGAAACTTGACAGAACAAATAAGCCAAAGCTCATGAGATATAGAGGAATACAAGGTTTGGACAGACCACTTAATGCCATCGAAGCGCCATTTATTCGAAGCCTTCCACAAAAACCAAAGAATGAGCAATGACAAAATCCTGTACAACCGTCGAATCGACATCTTACTCACAGGTTGAGACCACCAGGTCATACATCTAGTCCGATAGCCGCAAGAAGCCATCGGAATCCCCAACCGACACTCAAAAAATGACCAGATAGCCTGGGCCACCAGGCAGGAGGAAAACAAATGATCAGCCGTCTCCTGAGCAGCCAAGCACAACGGGCACTGGGAGGGCCCCGCAAACCGGCACCTAGTACGTAACACATCATCCAAAGGCAACCTACCGGAAAACAAACGCCATGCAAAACAAGAAACCTTAAGTGGAATGGAGGAATCCCACAGCGACCGGAAGACCAGAGACTTCACTCCAGCCCGACGGACCAGCTGGTAAGCCGAGGCCGTGGAGAAAGAGCCCGAGGATGCCAACTGCCAACAAGGCTGATCTGGCAGATCCCCAAAACACATAAAAGTCTCCCCCATCACCTCCAAAATCTCAGTAGGAAGGAAAGACGAGAGACGAACCCAGTCCCAACTCCCCTGAACACAAAAGTCACTAACCTTCTGGTCGGAAGAAAGGTCTGGAAACCGCCAGCCAAGAGGGCCCAATCCGTTCCAATTATCCCACCAGAAATAACAATCTCCCAGAGAAACGTCCCAACGGATCTGTAATTCCATCTGCTCACGAACTTGGAACAACCGCCGACAGATCGCTAAACGCGACGGACCAACCACCACCTGATTAGGATGACCTCCCCGAAGGTACAAACTAGACAAAAACCTCGCCCACAGAGAGTCCTGTTGACGAAAGCGCCACCACAATTTACAAGAGAAGGCCTTAGAAATAGACTGCAAAGATCTAACCCCTAGGCCCCCTCCTCCACAGGGAAACACACCTTAGACCAACCACACCAGTGAAAATGGTTATCCCCCCAAAAAAACCACGCAAATATCCTCTCAATCTCCCAAATTGCCCCTCGAGTGGGTTCCAAGACTGCAAGCAAGTGAACTGGAATGGACGTAAGCACATGCCGAATAAGAATCAGCCGCGCCCCCATGGAAAGCCACCGATTCTGCCAGGACAGCAAACGAGCCTGAACTTTATCTATGATCCCAGCAAACAAGGACTTAGATCGCCGACCCTCATACAAGGGGCACCCCAAATACGTGATAGGCAAAGACTTACGAGCAAAACCCGTTTCCTCCGCAACCCTCCGACTGCGAAGACCAGAAACCTTCTTAGAGAGTAAACAACAACTCTTCGAGGCATTAACCAACTGACCAGACACTCGCTGATAATCAGTTAAAACACCCATGACTTTTCGCACCGAAGCCCGCCCCCCATTGCAAAAGACTATAATGTCGTCCGCATACCCCAGATGCACAGGGAGGACCCTCCCGAAGGAACCGAATAAGGGATGAAACCACTAGAGAGCGGAAGAGACTCCAGACCGCGGGACAGGAACTCCGCCATAATGATGAAAAGCGCTGGAGACAGCGGATCACCCTGCCGCAAACCCTTAGTGGACCTGAAAACCCGACCGGACCACCATTGATCAACACTGAAAAATGACAGGAGGAAACCAAACGCCAAACCATGTCCAACCAAGCCTCACCAAACCCGAATTTCCGCATAACAGATAGCAGAAACATCCACGATACCCTGTCATAGGCCTTGGCCATGTCCAGTTTCAAAACCACATTAGAACCCCGGACCTTTCTCCCAATCCTAGAGATCATCTCCTGAGCAAGCAGAATGTTATCAGAAATGGCCCTTCCCTTAACAAAACCACTTTGCTGAGGGGAAATGAGTCGGGGTAGAACTTTTTCCAGCCGAGCCGCAAGAATCTTGGAAATAATCTTGTTCGAGAAATTACAAAGACTAATCGGCCTAAAATCGGCAAAGGTCTTAGGGGCCGACTGTTTAGGAATCAAGGCCAACAAAGTGGCCGAAATCCCACACGGGAGATCAGCACCAACAAAGAAATCCGCGACTGCATCTGAGAGGTCCCCTCCTATAATATCCCAGCAAGCCTGATAAAAGGACCCTGGGAACCCGTCCGGGCCTGAGCAACTGTCCCTATCCAAAGAGAAGACCACCCCTCGAACCTCCTCAACAGTAGGAAGCCGTTCCAAATCCAGATTATCATCCTCCGACAAAATTGTCAGGATTCGAGATAATTCATCCCCCATCACCTGATCCAATGGCCCCTGGGTAAACAAGTCAGAGAAAAAAGTCTCCACCATCGCATGAATAGAACCTACATCATCAGTCCACGCACCAGAGGAAGTCTGAAGCCGATGAATACGAACCTTCACCCTGCGTTGACGCACATAAGAGTGAAAAAACTTAGAATTGGCATCTCCCTCCTTCAGCCAACGTAACCTCGATTTCTGCCGCTAGAAGATGGCCTGACGCAACAAAGCTTCCTTCAAGACCGACGAAACCTGCACCAGCCGCAAGTCCACCTCCGGGGATGGTCGGGCCGCCGCCTCAGCCTCCAACTGAGCAACCTCCTCCTCGACCTATTTTACGGCATCGAACACGTTACCGAAAACATTTTTGTTCCAAACAGTCAAAGCCGCCTTAACCGCCTTCAACTTATGCAAGAAACGGCGCATCGGTCGGCCAGTGCTACCAGAGAGCCAGGCCTCCTGAACAACGTCCTTAAAACTAGCATGCCGAAGCCAAACATCTTGGAACCGGAAGCTCCTCGGAGAGGACGAGCTTGAAATCAAGTAAGAAACCAGAAACGGAGAATGGTCAGAAGCAGTGCGGGCCAAGTGATGAACTGAAGGCACCACACCTGTGAGGACTCGCAAAAACTATTATTTTATGCCTAATTTATGGCTTAATAAATTATTTAATTGGGTTTTATTTCCAAGGAATATTTTCTAGTCTTATTAGACCTAAATACATGGTAATGTAACTTCGTTATATTTTTAAAATGATTCGTTTCAAAAATTAATTTCCTAGAGCGCGTTTCGTAAAAATAGTGAACAGTGCTTGGAGATTTTATCCGCGTAGTAGCACAATAAGTTTGGAATATTGGAGACTTGTACTATGGTCCTAAAATAGGTAATTTTATGAATAAATATTCAAGTGATAGTTAGTAGTGCAATCGTTATAAGAATTTTTCGAAAGTTTCGCGTTATAGCGGTAAAATTGACGGTACGCGTTTTCACACGCGCGACTTCATTTGAGGGACTTTAGACCCTTATTTCGGGACAATTAAGAGTGAAGAATATTTACATGAATATATATGCATTAGAGGTTTAGTGCACTAGTGAACCAAACGCGCGAGAAAATCGAGCCGTAATCACACCAAACGGCCCCTAATGAGAGTTGACTTTTGGGTGATTTTGCACCACACATTGCACCTTCTCTTGGAAGCTAACTTAGATCAAACACACTCTCTCTTCTCTCTCCTCATGGCCGGCCAAAACACTCCCTCTCTCTCTAACTCCTTGTTCTAAAATTTCTGCACACTAATCTCACCCAAAACCACCCCAAATCACCTCCAAATTTAACCAAACTTGCACCACACCTAGCTTGACACTTGAGGAGCATTTTGAGCTGCAAAAGAGAGGTAAAACTCACGGTTTTTCTGGGGCAAAAAGGACCGAAATTCTGCTTGAACATCAACCCCAAAGTAAGTGATGATCTACCCTTGAAAACTTGAAGATTGGAAGCTATCTTGCCTTGTTAAGTTCATGCATGCATTTGGTTAGCTTTTGTATGGTGTAAAAATGTGATTGTGGGCTCTTGGAATTCCCACACTTGGGTTGTTGTTGCTGATGTGATGATTGATGGTGATTATATTGTTGGTTTAGTGATTATAATGATGCATTAGTGGTGGGTAATTAGTAGGAACTTCATTGGGTGTAAGAAGCTAAAATTTCCGATTTTGCCCCTGCCATGTTCGGCCATTTCCAGGCCAATTTTTAATGGTTTAATGGCTTGAATTGGATGTTTGTAGGATGTATTAGATGTGTGAAAAATTTAATTGAAAAATAGTGAGGTTTGAATGGGCAAATGAATTTTTTTTAGAAACCAGCAAATCTGGAAACTGATTCGCGTATGTCTCTGACCAGCAGTAGTATTTTGGCTATAACTCTGTCCTCGGATGTCGAAATCATGTGCCGTCAGTGGCGTTTGAAACTGGACATTCCTAGCTTTAATTTGGTATAAAATGCACGTTATGATTCTTTGTGAACAAGCCGAACCAAATGTTTTAAGTTCGCTGTCCTGTTGCTCTGTTCGTCTGGAATGAAGTGGTCAGGCAGCAACTTGATGCCCGAATTTGAACCAGTTGGGTGCCGAATTTGGAAATGATTTCTTCTGTGATATTTTAGTCCTATGAATGTATTTTCCAACGGCGTAAGCCATGCCCGATTTCGAGCTATATTGACTGATTTGTGACTGAAACAAGTGGACTGCTCAGTTTTGGAAAACCCTAATGTTTGGACTGGTTTGGAACCAAATCTTGGAGTGAACCTGTTAGTTGATGTTTTTGATATTAAACACTTACCAAAGATATTATGGGTGTATCTTAGACCCTTATTTCACAAATGAACCATGGTTGGATAACTTTCTTGGTTAGACGATTGGAAATTTGGAAAATGAAAGTCAAAGGCAGATTGCCGTAGGATTTTTCTTGAATTTTGGTTGGCTAATTAACTACCTTGCCGAAGGTATTTTTCCCCGAAATTCGATAGAGAGATACTTTGCATATAGTATTGAAATACTGCCAATTTTGGTGCCAATTCAAGTTCGTTTTGATACCTAATTAAAATTCTAAAGTTGGGGGTTCAAATCTGGAAAATTCTCATCCAGTCTTGAATTTGCTCAACTTCGGGCTACCGTATCTCGGTACTCGAAACTCCTATTCTTGATCCGCTTGTTTTGTCATACACCTCACTTGCAACCCTAATTGAGCTGCAAATTTCAGAGGCCGGTTTGCAATGTGTGAATCGTGCCGAATTTTCAAAGTTGGCCGAAATCCAACTTAATTCTGCCATGAAAACCGACCCTGCGTCTTCAAGCTCATTTTTGACCAAATTTCACTTCGATTCATGGAAACATGTCTTCTAGGAACTTATAGTACTCTCTAAGAGGTTTCCAACGGTATAAATTTTTCCAATTCTCGACTTATACCGAGCGAGTTATGATTTTTCAAAGATTCATCATAAAACTGAAAATTTTCCAATCTCAAAGAAATAGAGTTTTTTTCAAGAACTCTTTATTCTTTTAATATTCTTAAACGTTTTGCTCACGATTTTCATGATAAAAACTCAAATAATATTGTACATAATAAAAGGCGAGTTGAACCTCGATTTACGTGTAATTGAGATTCCTTTCGCGAAATAATCCTTAGATTGTACTAGTGTACAATCTTCTTGATAAGTGGGTTAATTGTGTGATTATCCACTGTTAATTGCCAGGCGCACAAGGAGACCTTCAAGAGGATCTCACAGTGGACACTTGAACTCCCAGAAAATAATTCTTATTGAATTGCTCGGTGAGTGTCAAGTGTGTGAATTTTGATACTTGCTTATTGTGGTATTTGTTGGAAGTTTTAAAAATAAGGGCGGGTGCGTACCTTATCGCACTCGTTCTAATTTCAAATGAATGAATGAAATGTATTGAATGAATGAATGAAATGCAATGTTATGTCATGAATGCTTGTGTCGCTGGAGTGAACCTCCTCGACTTTCAAATGAATGGGGGACGCCCAAACTCATAGGCCGTCCTTAGACTTGAGCCAGCAATGGGCTTGGTCGGGGATTTGGGCGAGCCATGAGATACATATAAGCTCGACCTAATAAGAGGTCTTGCTTGGCATACTCGTCGAGTATCGCCTTATACTAGACTTGTGGGCCCTTGGGGTGTACGGTGGACGGAGGGAAGTAAGTGGTGATCTACGGAAATGGAAATACCGACCCGGTTGACAGGAGGGTCAATGCGGGAAGGTATACGAATGACATCGGCAGATCGAGTGGAACTTAGCTCCTGAGAGCTACTATATCCTTGAATTGTTTCTGATTACCTTTCATGTTTGATTGATTGATTATTGAAAAGACATGGCTTTATTTATTAAATTTGGGATTGTTATTTGACTAAGTGCTTGCATGTGTGTTCTTGGCCTCACGAGCGTTAGCTCACCCTATAGTTTTGTTTTCCTTAACAGGACCGACTCTTGGAGAAATATGGAGAAACTATCCGTTGAAATTTTGTTAGACTCCTGTTATACATTTTGACTAGGCCCTGGTTTGGGTTGTACTTTTGAAAATTGTAAACTTGAAAAGTTTGGGCCCTGATGTGTACTTTGAATTTAAGTCGTTTCATGACTACCGATGTACTGGTGATACATTAAATGACTTGTTAAGTTTGAACGCTTCCGCATTATTGTATTCATGTTGCTCTCATCGAAGTGTTTAGTTCGGTTTGAAATTGAATGGAATTGCTTGAGTCCTGGCGTGAACTGGGCAGGCGTCCGCGGATACCCTTTGGTCCGCCTTAGGGAGATGTGGGGCGTCACAACACCACTACCCAACCAGCCGCGATCAACCAGGACTCGATCCAACCGCTTCCAGACCCGCGCCCTACCCTGACGATTATTACACCACGTAAACTGGTTCCCAGAGAATCCCACATCTGTTAAGTCCAAATCCTGAATGAAAGCATGAAAGTCCTCCGACTCAGCCCTGCGAAAAGGCAGACCTCCTCTCTTCTCCTCCGCATACAAGATTACATTAAAGTCACCATGAAAGAGAAGAGGAAGACCCAACACCTGCAAAGCACGTAAGTCCGCCCAAAGCTCACGGCAGTCACTGACTGAGCAGGCCGCATGCACAAAGACCCCAACCACCTCAGTACTCATCTGAGAGTGCGTCACGCGAAGGGCCAAATACTGAGAAGATTGACCCACAATAGAGCAAGAAAATTCACTAGAGTAAAAAACAACAAGGCGGCCATCATTGGTAGGACAACAACCATCAAAGCCCAACCTCTGGCGAATCCAATCAAAACGAGAAGCATCCATTTTGGGTTCACAGAACCCTAATAAAATAGACGCAACTTACGTAAACGAGCTATAGTGATGGAGTTATCTAAACCCCGAACATTCCAAAACAATGACTTAAACATCACGTAAAGGAAAAGAAGAAGAGTGAGGGGGAAAACCTGGCGAGGCCGCGACCACCCCAGGCTGTCTCTTTTTCAAGTCGCCACGCCGGCGTTTAAGCGCCTCCATGGCCGCCAAGGGAGGAGCAGCTTTGCGTGGAGAAAGATTCAATTCTAATATTGCAACCTGCTCCTGCTGCATGCGCACCGACGAAGCGGTCTCGTCATCAATCGCCACCGCAGCCACCTTGTCGGCAAGGTCATCAAAGATCGCCTCCGCAGCCGAGGCAATAGCGTCTTTCACCATCTGCTCCACCACTGCACCAGGCTCCTGCTGCCCTGCGGTAGCAAGCAGCGACAAAGGGACCGCTGCCTCCTCCTCCCCATCCTGGTGTTCGTCATCCGAAGCCTCCTCCACAACTACATCATCCAGATCTAACGGAGTCCCCTTGTGAGTGGCCTGCATCCCCTAAAGGGCCGAGACTCCCTGCCCATCCCCTGCAGACGGGGATGCTGCCACCACTGGCTCAGCAGCCTGGGCACTCGACCCAGGCGCAGGCACCGCATCAGGCCCGAGAACCACCCCCGACACCCTGTGCTTCTCGCCCACAAGCGCAGGCGCAACCAATTCCCTCGTCGCCGCTACCTTCTCACCCGCCACAGCCACAGCAGGCGGCCGTCCCTTGCGTCCTCCCTGAGGCTGCGTCTCCCCAGTGGGCCGAGCCTGGGCCTTCAACTCCGGATGAAGCATCACGCAGTCATCCTTGCTATGCCCCTGTCGAAAGCACCCAGAACAGTAGGCCGGTAGATGCTCAATATCAAGATTCTGCCAGAACCCCTCCTGTCTGCCATTCCCAATCCAAACCTGGGACACTAGCGGCTTCAGGAGATCAACCTCTACGCAAACCCTAGCCACGCTGGGACGGGACAAGGCTGCAGTAGCAGCATCAACGTAGAGCGGCACGTCCAACATAGCAACAATCCGAAACAAGCACTCTCGATTGAAAAGATGAATGGGAAGTTTGGGCAAAGACACCCACACCGGAACCACAGACGGCTCCCGGTCCACATGAAACGAAGGCGTCATACCAGACCCCACGAAGCCATAAACGATGATAATCCCTCTCATCTGCAACCCTGATGAGGATGTGACGGGGATCGAGCAGCCCAATAGAGACAGGCTGCTTGAGATCAAGCGTGACGAAAAATTTACGAACCAGCTCCAGCGAAGGTCGACCCCGAGCAAACTTCCCAACCAGCGCATATCGAAAGGGGTCGGACAGCTTGTGTATCACCTCCTGTGAAAAGATCAAGGCAGGCTCTCCACGGTGTGTGGAGGCCGTCGCCTGAACCGAGAAGGCTGGCGCAGTAGGACTCGTGAACAGATCCGAGAAGGACTGCTGGATCTTCACAGGTAGAGGCTGCCCCCCAACACCTGGGTAGGGGGCCTCCGAGGAAGCCATGTAAACCCTAAAAAAAAAACCTAGAAAGAAGAGAGAGGAAAAAATTTGCTCCCAAGCAAATCATCTACACCGTGATCCAAGCCCTTGGAGAATCAAGCAGGCCTCCAATTGATTGGGCTGAGTAGGGTCATTAGGCCCTAATGTTGCTTAGGGTTAGATTAACTGCGTATTAGGCGCATGGGCCGGCCCATTTGGACACCAAGATGGTCGACTGCTCTTTTAGGGTTTCCTTAAGGTTTTCGTAACCTCTAACTTACAAAAGGGCTTGCTTTGTAAGGGTTTTGGAAGCAAGTTGGATCAATAAAGTTTGACTAATTTCGATTCTTCTTGTTAAGAGAGATTCGAGCCTTTTTACTTGTCTTGGCAAGGGTTGCGAGCTTTCTTGTGTGTCGTCCTAGATTTTTCTACCGACCTATCCATTAGAGTAATCACCTCGGTGGAGTCGTCATTCTACCATCAATAATCAAATCGTGTCGTCCGTTTTACACTAGGTTCCGCAATCCACACGTTCGACCACCTCGCTAGATCCTTGCGCAAACGTGCTACGTGTCTCGAAACGAGGTGATCGAGGACCGTCTCAGCGATGTGAGCATGGATCAGGGGCCATGCAATGACCCTGTCCGATTTCCATTTGTCCCAGCCACATGTTCCCGAGCCAAGCTCCTCAAGTAATCCCTCCATGGCCTTGTTCGAATGGTCCAAGACCAACATGCAGTCCATAGGGATATTGAAGATCTAGAAGGAGACAAGTAAATCATCTACACCATGATCCAAGCCCACGGAGAGTCAAGGTGGCCTCCATGTGATTGGGCTGAATAGGGTCATTAGGCCTTAATATTGCTTAGGGTCAGATTAACTGCGCTGTAGAAGCATGGGCCGACCCATCTTGACACCAAGATGGCCGACTGCTCTTTTAGGGTTTTAGTAACCTCTAGCCTATAAAAGGGCTTGCTTTGTAAAGGTTCTGGAAACAAGTTTGATCAATTTCGATTCTTCTTGTTAACAGAAATTCAAGCCTTTTTACTTGCCTTGGCAAGGGTTGTGAGCAATCTTGCGTCTTGTCCTAGATTGTTCTACCGATCTTTCCATTAGAGTAATTACCTCTGTGGAGTCGTCGATCTACCGCCTATAATCGAATCGTGTCGTCCCGTTTGATTCTAGATTTTGCAATCCAAGCATTGGACCTCCTCGCTAGATCCTTGGGCAAACATGCTACATGTCTCGAAACGAGTTGTTCGAGGTGTATCCAATAGAAGTAATAACCTCTGTGGAGTCATCGTTCTACCCCATATAATCAAATCGTGTCGTCCGTTTGATTCTGGGTTCCGCAATCCAAGCGTTGGACTACCTCGCTAGATCCTTGCGCAAACGTGCTACGTGTCTCGAAACGAGGTGATCGAGGACCGTCTCAGCGATGTGAGCATGGATCAGGGCCCATGCAATGACCCTGTCCGATTTCCATTTGTCCCAGTCACACGTTCCCGAGCCAAGCTCTTCAAATAATCCCTCCAAGGCCTTGTTCGAATGGTCCAAGACCAACATGCAGTCCATAGGGATATTGAAGGTCTAGAAGGAGACAAGTAAATCATCCACACCATGATCCAAGCCCACGGAGAGTCAAGGTGGCCTCCAAGTGATAGGGCTGAATAGGGTCTTTAGGTATTACTATTGCTTAGGGTCAGATTAACTGCGTTGTAGAAGCATAGGCCGGCCCATCTTGACACCAAGATGGCCGACTGTTCTTTTAGGGTTTCTTTAGGGTTTTAGTAACCTTTAGCCTATAAAAGGGCTTGCTTTGTATGGGTTTTGGAAACAAGTTCGATCAATACAGTTCGATCAATTTCGATTCTTCATGTTAAGAGAGATTCGAGCCTTTTTACTTGCCTTGGCAAGGGTTGTGAGCAATCTTGCGTCTTGTCCTAGATTGTTCTACCGATCTTTCCATTAGAGTAATTACCTCTGTGGAGTCGTCGATCTACCGCCTATAATCGAATCGTGTCGTCCCGTTTGATTCTAGGTTTTGCAATCCAAGCATTGTACCTCCTCGCTAGATCCTTGGGCAAACGTGCTACATGTCTCGAAACGAGTTGTTCGAGGTGTATCCAATAGAAGTAATAACCTCTGTGGAGTCATCGTTCTACCCCATATAATCAAATCGTGTCGTCCGTTTGATTCTGGGTTCCGCAATCCAAGCGTTGGACTACCTCGCTAGATCCTTGCGCAAACGAGCTACGTGTCTCGAAACGAGGTGATCGAGGACCGTTTCAGCGATGTGAGCATGGATCAGGGCCCATGCAATGACCCTGTCCGATTTCCATTTGTCCCAGTCACACGTTCCCGAGCCAAGCTCTTCAAATAATCCCTCCAAGGCCTTGTTCGAATGGTCCAAGACCAACATGCAGTCCATAGGGATATTGAAGGTCTAGAAGGAGACAAGTAAATCATCCACACCATGATCCAAGCCCACGGAGAGTCAAGGTGGCCTCCAAGTGAAAGGGCTGAATAGGGTCTTTAGGTATTAATATTGCTTAGGGTCAGATTAACTGCGTTGTAGAAGCATGGGCCGGCCCATCGTGACACCAAGATGGCCGACTGTTCTTTTAGGGTTTCTTTAGAGTTTTAGTAACCTTTAGCCTATAAAAGGGCTTGCTTTGTAAGGGTTTTGGAAACAAGTTCGATCAATACAGTTCGATCAATTTCGATTCTTCATGTTAAGAGAGATTCGAGCCTTTTTACTTGCCTTGGCAAGGGTTGTGAGCAATCTTGCGTCTTGTCCTAGATTGTTCTACCGATCTTTCCATTAGAGTAATTACCTCTGTGGAGTCGTCGATCTACCGCCTATAATCGAATCGTGTCGTCCCGTTTGATTCTAGGTTTTGCAATCCAAGCATTGTACCTCCTCGCTAGATCCTTGGGCAAACGTGCTACATGTCTCGAAACGAGTTGTTCGAGGTGTATCCAATAGAAGTAATAACCTCTGTGGAGTCATCGTTCTACCCCATATAATCAAATCGTGTCGTCCGTTTGATTCTGGGTTCCGCAATCCAAGCGTTGGACTACCTCGCTAGATCCTTGCGCAAACGTGCTACGTGTCTCGAAACGAGGTGATCGAGGACCGTCTCAGCGATGTGAGCATGGATCAGGGCCCATGCAATGACCCTGTCCGATTTCCATTTGTCCCAGTCACACGTTCCCGAGCCAAGCTCTTCAAATTATCCCTCCAAGGCCTTGTTCGAATGGTCCAAGACCAACATGCAGTCCATTGGGATATTGAAGGTCTAGAAGGAGACAAGTAAATCATCCACACCATGATCCAAGCCCACGGAGAGTCAAGGTGGCCTCCAAGTGATAGGGCTGAATAGGGTCTTTAGGTATTAATATTGCTTAGGGTCAGATTAACTGCGTTGTAGAAGCATGGGCCGGCCCATCTTGACACCAAGATGGCCGACTGTTCTTTTAGGGTTTCTTTAGAATTTTAGTAACCTTTAGCCTATAAAAGGGCTTGCTTTGTAAGGGTTTTGGAAACAAGTTCGATCAATACAGTTCGATCAATTTCGATTCTTCATGTTAAGAGAGATTCGAGCCTTTTTACTTGCCTTGGCAAGGGCTGTGAGCAATCTTGCGTCTTGTCCTAGATTGTTCTACCGATCTTTCCATTAGAGTAATTACCTCTGTGGAGTTGTCGATCTACCGCCTATAATCGAATCGTGTCGTCCCGTTTGATTCTAGGTTTCGCAATCCAAGCGTTGGACCACCTAGCTAGATCCTTGGGCAAACGTGCTACGTGTCTCGAAACGAGTTGATCGAAGTGTATCCATTAGAAGTAATCACCTCAGTGGAGTCATCGTTCTACCCCATATAATCAAATCGTGTCGTCCGTTTAATTCTGGGTTCCGCAATCCAAGCGTTGGACTACCTCGCTAGATCCTTGGGCAAATGTGCTACGTGTCTCGAAACGAGGTGATCGAGGACTGTCTCAGCGATGTGAGCATGGATCAGGGCC